TCCTGCTCATCCGCCTGTTTATCCGGCTCCGCTCCGCTTCCCAGCTGAATCCCGCTCCGGGTTTTCTCTCCAGCTTGTTCCCTACTTTGAAAGTAGGTCACTGTTTGCTTTGTATTATTCAGCAACTGGAATGATTGTGCAGTGAGGGTTCCTGACTGTGATCCTGGTGACATGCACGCAGCCAGGCAGCAGCTCGACGCCCTGCCCAAACTCTTCATATCTGCCATGGAAAGGAGAGGGGATTTTCCCCTTCAGCTCGGCTTCCTCATATCTCAACTGCAACTTCAGTGCCTGACAAACAGGGGCAGAAACAGAAGCAGAAGGTGTCAGAGTGCACGCCTGGGGTCATGAAAGGCTTAACCACTGCAGAGGTGAACAAATGCTGAGTTCAGTCTGAGTGTGTAGATCCAAAATATTTGCCCCGCTGCTTTTGATCCGACTGAATTCATGTTGAGTCCAGGCCGGGATCCGTACCTGGAATGCAGGGCTGTTGCATAACCCAGAGGACTTTGGATGACCCCTTCGTGATGCACTTTTCATCCTGTTGCTTTGATTCCACTTATTTATTCCAAAAAGGACACAATATGCAGTTTTATCTGCAAAAAGACCAAATATTACCAAGTATTTTTGGTCTGGTTTTTAGTGCAAATAAATGAGTACACTTTAAGTAAGACGAAACTAATTTACAACTCTGCTTTTTTTAGTGATTTATTGGCCTCGACATCATAAAATTGGCACTAAATTCCAATTTCAAGTTGAGAAAATATAACATTATTAGATATTTGAAGTATTCTGCAAAAACACTGAATCTTACCAAGTATGTGTCTAGTTTCTAGTGCAAACATCTTTTACACTTCATAAAACAAAACTAACTTACAAGTAACTTTTCAGCAAGAAATAAGACTTTGTTTTAAGTCAGTAATTCCAACAGTGCAAAAATCTTAGTTCACTTGAAATAAGACAAAAATAACTCGCAAGTAACTTTCCAGGAGCTTGTTTTACATAAATAAATCCTTAATATTGATAGAGTTGAAAAAAATGCTAGTTCCACAGCCAGATTAGTTCATTTATAATGCAGAAAAAGTATCATGTTTAAGTTAAATAATCTGCTAGTGGAACTAGTACTTTTAAATCCACATCAAGAAATTATTGACTTGTAGGTTAGTTTGACTTATTTCTAGTGTAATAAGACATTTGAACAAGAAACTGGACAAATATACTTAAGATTTTGTGTTTTTGCAGTGTGGATCTCCATCAACTCTCTTTTCTCAGGGAAATGACGTGAAACCACATTCTGAACTGGGATGTCATCAACAAAGAATGAGTGGAAGATTTTCAAAAAGGCAACCGCAGCCTCCTGCTGCAGAAAAACACCTGAAACTCTGCTTGGTTTCCTAACTTCAGACAGAAAAATCTATTTAAATGTATCTGCGTGAGCTGCAATAATCCATGTAAATAATCAATATCGTAATCAGTCTGAAATTTTGTTTGAAGGCACTAAAGATATTTCTCCATATAAGTTTTAATTATCCTTGAAAACAAAGGTTATGCTATAATTTTTTTTGGGAAAACTTGTTTTTCGTCAAATTAATTAAGTGAAAAGAAACTTAAAAACAAACTACTACTGCAACAAGGAGGACAAGAAAAGAATAATATTTATTAAATTGGTGTTTAGTGGTGTGATGGAGATGAAAGAAAGGAAAACATTTTAAAGTTTCATTAAAAACGCCACCTTACGGAGCAGATCGCATTCCTGCTGTAAAAATAATAAATAAAATGATAAATAAAAAACTTCCACTTGTAGAAGACCAGGGAAAAATACCTGAGGAACACAGGGAGACAGACTGGAGCTAACAGAGAGATAATTTATGCTACGTTCACATAGCAGGTCTTGATGCTCAGTTCTGAGTTTCTGTTGAAATGAGATTTTTCATCTTTTACATGTTTTTCATTCATTCACAATAAAACATATTTTGTATTTTTAAGTTTCAAAGGTCATGAACTGCAGAGGGGTTTTCTATTACTCACAAGACGAAAACATTCTGAAATGGAGAGTTTGTTACGCAACAGGGAGGAAGTTGATGAAGAACTGGGATGTGATGGACGGGAAGTAACTGGCGAAATGTCAGAAACACGGAAACAGAAATGAAATAAACCAGACGACCCGACATAAACGAGACACAGAAGCAACAGGGAAGTAAGACGTTATTCAGACTAAGATTGTTACTACAGGGAGCATAAAGACGTTTGAAAAACAAAAATCAGAAGAAGAACCGCCTTGATGGGAGCGGCTGGTTCCTCCGGCCCGGTTGATATTTGGATCCAATCACTCACCCTTAAAAAAGTCTGAGTGGCGCTGAGCTCATCGGAGGCGTGGAGCAAAATACAAAAACAAACTTTCCCGGAACTTTACACAAAAATTAGGAATACATTAGATGTTTAGAAACACATATCTCAATCACATCTGGGAAGTTAATCCGATTTGGTTCTGCTCTGGACCAAAAAAAAAATCCCTTCTGAATTTTTTTTCTGTGTATTGTGTGTAGCCCAAGTATACTGGGGGGGAAAAAAGAAAAAAATTCAAATTTTTATCTCAGCATTCTGACTTTAATTTAAAATTTCAGGTTTAATTTTCTCAGATTTCTGCCTGTAATCTCAGCATTTAGACTTTAACCTCAGATTTCTGACTATTTTCTCAAAGTCCTGACTTCATAGCAGATGGGCACTGTGATGTCATGGCATGACAAAACTGCCTCTGGCCAAAAACTGCTTAAATTCATCATGTTCCTCCAGAGAGTTTGTTGTCCTCCTCCACAACTCGCATCTTGGTCGTTGAAGCTGGTTCCTCCCATCAGCTTTAAAGTCAGAAATCTGAGAGTAAAGTCAGTTTTTTTCCCAAGTGGCACTAATCTTCTTCCATACACAAGTCCACATAAGGTTATTGATATGAAATAGATATGAAGAAATGTTCAAAATATCTGGTTCTGCTCCAACTTGGCTACTTCTGGTTGTCTGGTTCTGTTTCTGCTTATGGACGGTGTTGAGTTGCCATCATCTGCAGGAAGATGCAACAAATCTGAAGGTCTTCTTCAAAGAAACAACGGAAACTTTTGGACAAAGCTTTCACAAAACAAGAAGGGCAAAACTAAAGTTTTCCCCTCAGTTTTAGACATTTATAAAGCTGTATCCTGGGGACTAACCCCCCCAGGATAATTACATAGCCTTTTGTGTTTGTTGGCTCTCCTGTGGAACTTTGTCCAATCTGTTGAGCTCAAAATAGCCCCAGTTGAAAGACCGTAATTCCAGTTCCAGTCAAGGTGGGGCTCGCATTGCAGAATATTCCAGATTCTGGTTTTTCCACAACTTTAAGTTTCACTGCACATTGCTTAAGTATGCACACACTTTACATGTTTCACCTTTTGCCACCCCAAATATCTGGGCAATAAATCAAAGTAGAAGAAAAAGGACGCGTAGTTAAGAAGATTTATTATAAATAAATATCAGAAAAGTGTTTAACTGAGTATCTGAGGTGATGTTCACAGATGTTCTTCACAAATTGTAGAAATGATAAATAAAACTTATTTTTAATCTTTTAGTTATTGGACTAACAATTTAGAGCAATCTGGGTGAAGAAAAGAAAAATGATAAATTCTCATATTGTAAATTAATTTAATGAATTTGACCAATTTGTAGCTCTATAGAAAAGGGAAGGTTTATAGAATATTTTTCTCCTTCCCGCTCCCTTTTCACTCTTGTAAAATAAATAATCTTAGAGTATCTTCATGAAGTGAAGATAAAATCTGTGCATAAACTGAATGATTGAATGTTTCCTGATTTCAGCATCATCGCTTAGAAAACTGCCATAGCTCCTTTTTAAACCCCATAGAAACCTCCTGTAAACGACTGCACTGTAAAACAACGAGCCGCTTCAGCTAAAAATAGTCAAATTAAACGGAAAAGTGTTTGACTGCAATTAGGAGCCCAATCAAAACGCTTCACTAACATGCAGGATGAAAGGTACATTCTGTCTCCTTCCTTCTTCAAGATGGGAATTCATTATTTTTTCCAGCAGCTGCAGAAAATAGAAAATGTCTGCTGATGTGAAGCTGCTGATGTGAAGCTGCTTCCTGCTGTGATCCTGATGACCTTTTCATTTCCTTGTTAGGAGATTACAGAAGATCCCGGGCAGGACTTCATCTGGCTCTCTTTTAGCCTCAAACTTTCTTCTTTCCTGACTTTTAAAAATGATTAAAATAAAGGCAGAGTAACAACCTGTGGATCTAGAGAAAGAACACGTTGAGCTGCTCTAAAACATTTCTGTGGTTTTATTTTTAACCTGAAGTGAAACGGCTCACCCAACAGGTTCAGGTGTGTCACAGAGAAATGCAAATAAAACATGACGAGCGTAAAACATAACTTCAGGTTTTTAGCTGAGATTGAAAGAAAAAAAACATTAATGGTTTGGTTTCACGCATTTGTTACTTTAAGGCAGAAATGGTTTAACTCTTTAATATTAGCCTCCAGATTATCCAAAATCCTACAGCAAGAGTTCTGATGAGACATAAAAACTATTTTTTTGATGTATTTTGTCTCTTATTGGTGTAGAAAAAAAACCCCTGACCTGTTTATTCTTTTTCCCAAAGCAGAAAGACGTTTATCTTCAAAATCTGAAGGAAAGAGCTTCAAAACCAACAAATTTATCCATATTTTTATAGCACTTTGTCAAATTTGAACAAACAAAACAACATTTAACTTGTTAAGTCATTTAAAAGGGGCGGTATTGTGTATTTTCCAGGTAGAAAATAACATTTTATAATGCTATTAAGTAACTATGTTACCTTCAGTTGCTTTAAAATGACTTAAAATACATTTGACTTCACAATTGAAATTGGGTTTCTGTCTCTTTAAGAAGCTCCTACTCTTTAGCACATCGTCACAACAATGCGCCTCATTGTGCAGGTGTTTGCTGCCACTAGTCTAGAGGACCTGAATGGAAGTAGGTGGAGTTTTGTGAAAGCAAGTGTTTTGCTAGCCAAATGGTTGCCATGGAGATTAAATTACCCTCAAACATGCATGAAAGAATCAAAGCAACATTTTGAGTATGTTTTTGATGAGGGAATAAGATTATAACAAATAACACCGTCCCTTTAAGGCTCCGGCTGCTTCTTGGCAGCAGCAGGAGCTCAGGTGTTTTCAGCGGGAACATTCGGCCCACGCGGCCTTCGTTCTGAGACGCTCGGCTCACAGCTGAGGTTGTAACAGCTTCTGTTCTCTGTCTTGTTCTCCGCGGGGAACAACAGGAAATCATCCACGGCGTCCCGCAGAGCGGCGGCTCTGTCACACCGGCTCTGCTCAGGAGAGACGACTGTTTCTGATTCGTTAAGGTTTGAATCCACAGAGGAGGATTCAAGCCGTCTTCTCTCAAACACAAACATTACATTCATAATTCTATATCTTTGTAGTGTCTTGTTACTTTGTCTATTTTGACATTTAAGCTGTTTTTATTTTGCATATAGATGTCGTATATACATTAAATCAGACCAGCTAGAATTAATAAAATACCAGAATAATGTTTTAAAGTCTAACTAGTAGTTTACATTCATTTATTTAGAGTTTGATACAGTTACAATGTAAACTGCATGACTTTAAATTTACATTTTCTGGATTTTCTTCTCACCAGAGTTTGCTGGGATTTGGGCCCATTCCTCTCATGACTGGTTAAACTGGGTAAGACTGGCTCACAAACACTTAAATCTCCTCTGTTACCATGTTTACCTTGAAAAAGTAATCAGACTGATGACTGATTGATCCTTTAAATGCAATATTTATTTCTTGTTTCACAACTGGTGACTGAATAATGTACCCAACTGTCACTTTGTTTCTGAAATGAAGTATACAAATAAACTTTAACTTTAGCTTTAATATTCACTTCTTACACCTTTTTATTCTTCTGTTTGCATCTCTGCTGCTTCTAGAAACAATCCAACTCTTTAAAAAACATTCAGTTTTTTTTTGGAGGTTGTCTAAAAAAACCTTCAAAATACGACCAGTATTATAGCAGTTGCCTAGCAACCGAGCCCAGCCCGTCACCTAGCAACCGAGGCAGAGTTCCAGCACATTTAGTCGGCTGGTGGTTCCGATCTGCTCTTTCTTCGTAAAACGTAAACAAAATTAGTGATGTTAGTTTTTAGCAGTTGTCGAATTTCTGTTTTGTTTTTGGCAAAAAACCACAGGACATTTCTCTCGCTAGCGCTAAATCAGTTTTCAAATTTATTTAGGTATCAACTGAAAAAAGAAAGAAACAAATTTGGTCTTTATTTGAAAAATGCTTCCTGTATTTATCCAAGTTTGGCAAAATCACGATTTGGTTGTGGCAAAGTCACAGTATAGACGTGGATCTTGCAGGAGAAAGAAAAAAGTCTTTTTAACTAAAAACAAATACTTTGTGTTGTTGCCAATATTTTCTGTTGTAAAAATATTTTTAATCTAACTAAAAACAATTGTCCTAGTTAAAAAAAGTTTCCATTTAAATCTGAATTTTTGCTTATACTGTCTGTCATATGTTTCATTTCCTGTTTTTGCCACTAATAAATCCCACGAAGGCCATTTTCCTTTCTTTTTATTTTTGAGTGGATCTTGTGAAATGGCTTTCAGCAAATTTTACATTTATGTAAGAAGATGAGAGAAGACACGAAGATTTCCTGGTGGAATATGTTTTATTTCAGACACACTCCTCCGTTTCCTGCTGAACAAAATCCTCCCACATTGCAGTGAATGAATGTAGCATCACTGGAAAAGACAAGAATAGTCGTTTTATTAAAGTGGAGCTGACCGAGCCGCTTGAGAAAAGCTGCTGAGTGAAAAACTCCTTTGTTGTTGTTAATTTATCCTGCAGGAAGCAGACAGAGAGCAGCCAGAGCGAGGTAAGCTGCCACCTAATTAAGAGGTGACTGACTCAGAGGCGTCTGATTGAAACTAGGTCGCGTCGACCAGAAGACGTTCAAGATGCAGAATGAACTTCCTTCTGATCCTGGGAAATCAGCAGAGGCGATGTTGCTTAGAAACAGAAAAAACATCACGTCTCTCTGCGGCTTTAAATGTGATGAATGTGACAAATAAAACCTCAACATGAAACTCTGATCTCCTCGTCTTTGTGTTTCCTCTCGCCTTGACCCGAACTCCTAAACATACTTTGTCATCACATTGTTTTAGCTTCACACGCAATGACATGACAGCATTAAGGTCATTGTAGTCGACCAAAAAACTGACAATAATCTCAGAAATTTTTGTGAAAAACTTGAAAATTTCTGAGTTTCAGAATTCAAAAATTTGCAAGAAAAAACTCTGAAATTTTAATTTTAACCTCAGAAATTAAAAAAAAAAAAAAGGGAAATTTGGGTCAAAAGTGGAAAATTTGCTTGAAAAAACAGGAGATTTTTAGATTAAAATCAGAAACGTTCCAGAAAAAAACTTTTTTGAGTTTCAAAGGTCAAACCTTTTGGACTTCTCACGCTCATTTTTTTAATGAAAACATTTAATTTATCTTATTTTGTTGTCTTATAATAATCTATTGTGTTTTTTACTTATTTAGTTTAATTATACTGTCTATTTGTAATTATTAATTAATTATATTATATTAATCACTGTGCAGATTTACAACAATATCAATAACTTCTATAGATATTTTATTGGCTGTACTTAGATTTTTTAATCACATCTTGTTAAAAGCTGCTTACTTTGAAGTTAACCAATTATTGAATAAAAATGAAATGCAAGGTTAGAAATTTGGAAGATTTGAACACTGTTGTTTTAAAATGATTCCTAAGGTGAAACTTTTTGCCTTTAATTCTGTTTTAATTTGCATAAATTGATTTAAAGTATTAATAGTTGAAATCTGAGGTAGAGTCTATTTCAGCCTTGGAAGAGTCTCTGGATGTTTAGATTAATATGCAGCTGCTTCTGTTGAAAGTTCACATGATGTTTTGAGCGGATTGGGTCACGTGTGTCTGTCGTGGTTTTTGCGTCCAGTGAGGTCACAGGAACATTTCCTATAATCCCTCATTACTGGTGCAGTAACGTAGAACCAGCTGTCACTCTGCTGTGAAAACCAAACCGAAACTCAAAACCAAATTTATGACTTTATTCGTGCAACTCTTTGTGAACTTTGTAGTTTTATTGACCTACAGAAACATGTGACATGCTCATTTACTGAGTAATCCTCCAATCAGCTCGTCAAACGAACTACAACCAGTCTGCTGAGTCCAGCCTCTCTCACACAGAAATATTGGGTTCTTTTAAGTTGTTGACCATTTTTGCTTTGCATCCACACAAAAACAGTTTTTAATGGACGATTTTCAGAATGAAAATAACTTTGTCCTGGTTTCTTTGGCTAACGCTCATGCATTAACCAAACCTGGAACCTGAACTAAAACCTCAAATGCGTCACGCATAGCAAAAAATGACCGACTAGTTTTATAATCCGACACGAAGAATCTGAACTTTCTTGTCACATAAAAGACTCTACTCGTGCTTATTGTTCATCGTTCTTGTTTTCTTGTTGTATTTACCACTAACTAATGTAGCAACTTCATATTTAGCGCCATCTACAGGTCTGGGGGAGTAAAAACAGCATCTTGGAACATTCTCTGTGGTTTTCGACCTTTGAAACGCTGCTCAGATTTCCAAAAGTTTTAAACTTTTCAAACTCAGAAATTTTCCATGTTTTTTCTAGAAAATGTTCTAGACTAATCTAAAAGATTTCTGAGTTTTTTTCTAGCATATTTTCAACTTTTCAAACTCAGAAATGTCCTTGTTTTTTCTCTAGACAATTTTGGAGATTAATTTCAAAATATCTAGATTTTTTTAGCACATTTTATACATTTCAAACTTAGAAATTTCCTTATTTTTTCTAGAAAATTTCTGAGATTTATCTCAAAACCCGTTCAGGCTCTGATAACGGCGGGTTGATTTTACAGTCATAGCAACAGATGCTGTTTTCAGTCACAGAGAGCGGCCTGTGCTTCACTAAACTTAGCTGAATAAACTGGATTCTCTGTTTTCTGTGAATGAATAGATCCAATTAGCGGAAACCCAGTTAGCATGCTTGGCCCACGTTCACATTATATCAGAGCCTGCAGCATGGAAACTTCATGGACTCAACTGGAGTTCTGCCAGTGGTCAGATTAGTGAGAGCATGCAAACACAGTTAATCTTTAGTGTTCATTCATTACGTTTCGCAGCATCACACAAGGTTCTCTCCTCTGGATATGAGTGGACAACAGTGGAGAATGATTGTGTAACCTCTGATGATCTGTCCAATCAGAGATCTGAGAGGCAAATCAGGCAAAACGCTGAAGAATTATCACAGTTTGCAAAGATGCAACTACAGGAACTAGTTGTATTATTTAGAAATAATTCAGTTCTCAGTCGGCCCAAAGCATATGGGAGTTAAGTGGCTGCTTAACTTGAGCACAAAGCTAGCATGATAAATATACTTAAATACCAGTGAATAACACAAACAAAATACTGTTACACATGGAAAAACAATTTCCATGTTATTTCCACAAATAGGTTGATTTCTTCCTGCTGCCGTTGCTGCAAATTTAGTATTTATTAGCTGATGCTAATTTAAAATAGTTAAAATAATAAAATAAAAATGTATTTTTTTAGTTCTTGTAATGTTAAAATCAACAGCCATAATTACACTGGTATGATGTCAGCTAATTACAAATGATGCTAATGATAGCAGGTATGCTACACACAGAATCTGATGTTGACACTTTGGTAGGGGGTCTCAAATGAAAACCTGCTTAGGGCCCCAAAGAGTCTTGGATCTGCCCTGATTCTGGCCTTTTACTGTCTGTTTTTCTCACCTGCATCATGGCGGTTCTGGCTGCTTCGTTCAAATTTCTCTCTGACATAATGTTGGCCACAGAAGAGCCCATTAATGGAGAACATGGACCACATAATGGTGCGTCCCCTGGTGTGTATAATTTCGGTCAGGAGGACAGAATGTGACGCTCCAGTTAGCGCCGCCGTGTCCCTCTCATTTCCCTCCGTAAAAGGTGTAGATCCCTGGTGAGAGGAGCAGAGAGACACAGAAAGCTTTCTTTATACAAGCAGGAATGTTTTAAACTGGGCTTTTCTTTCATGATCAATCAGCTTCACTTGATTACTTCTAAGTAACTCCAAACACGAGTTTGATCCAAAACTGTTAATTAAATTCCAGCTCAACCAGAAGTTTATGTGTGGGATTGACATAAGATCCTTGAGTTGGCAAGTCTGAAAATGCAGCCTGTCATTTTGATGAATAAATGAGCTTCATAATCACCAGAACACGGTTTCAGTTTCACGTCTGAGCTGCATCCAGTCGGCCCATCAGGCTTGAATCACGACCAGGCCGTTCCAACGCCAAAACCTGAAATGGAAATTCTCACTTTTGATCAAGTTTTTCTGTGTTCTGCAGGTCAGAAACATACGAGACGAGTTGGACCCCAGGTGGAAACGAAACGTTAAATCTGAGTTTAGAAAGGAAACGTGGAGCTAAACGTTATGAGCAAATAAAGTGTAAAGTGATACAATTCTCCTTGTTTAAGACCTGCAGCTCATAGAAAGCTAAAAATTTAGTTTGACACTAAATAGTTACACTGTCATGAATTGTGGTTGTTTAATGTGCACTGTCCTAATAAATTAAATTAAATCCAGATATTTTCAGCTCTGCTGCTGCATCTTTATCTCCATTCTGCTCCGATTTACTCCAGATCTTCCTGCTGCTAAAGTGCTGGAACCATCGGGGTTGGATGGATGGATGGATGGATCCATCCATGCATGCGTCCTCTTGTTACTCTCACATCGCAGTCATACCTCCACTGAGGGACGCCTCGCTGCAGCGGCAGCAGCTTCACTGGACCGGGCGGGGAAATGGCGGCAGGCAGCGGCCGCTTAACGAGGCGTTCTGCTGGGTCCAGATTGTTTATGCTCCGTGTCATGGAAAAAATGAGGCCCAAATTAAATGGCTCTGCTCGGGCCGCGCGGATGCCCATGTTTCCCTGCAAGAGGCATGGAAGTGGAAACACAGGGAACCACAATAGCAACACAAAAAGGGAAAAGAATAAACAGCAGGCGGAACGTCAAAACAGAATCTAAAAATCGAGAAGAGAGAGAAAAACAAGATAGGTGGGGAGGCAGAGCTCATGTGTGGGGAAACGTGTCGGTCCACGCTGACAGCATGTGACTGAGCAGACAGCAGCGGTATGGAGAGTGTGTCTTTTTGTCTGTCTGCCCTTTTATGGCCAGTCCTCTGCAGACAGAACCATGAGCAGTGTGGATGAAATTCACCCAGAATGAAATCAAACCAGGTAACTTATATCCACCCAATCAGAGGAGACGATCTTGGCCGTTTACTTAATGTCTGCAGGCTGATGTTTTGGCTTTCCTTAAACCTGCACACTGACTCACACAGCAGGGAGGATTATATGACAGAAAAGACAGAAAGTAGGTGAACTAAAGGTGACCTATTATGAATCCGTGTACAGGTTAGGATAGATTTATGGTCTATACAAAACGTGTTCATTTCATTTTTGTGCCCCAAATCTTTCTTGGATATTGAGATTTCAGACTGCTCAGTTCACAATGAGCATCTGTCACTTTATATCCAAACAAAGACAACTCAACGTTTACAGTCACACATGAAAATGGCTGCAAACAGAAGCAAAATTTTTATAACCGTACATCTTTGAAAAGCAAAAATGGAGCCTCCTGCACAACCAGCAAGAATGCAGAATCACAAAGTACTTGACTTTTCCACCAGCCATTCTACAGAGCATACAGCTAACCAAATGTGCTGGACCTTAGCTTAGGTTGCTAGATAACAACCCAGTGATCCAACAAAAGAGATTTTTTGAAATGGCTCATTTTCCAAATAGCAAAAAACATGAACTTATTTCCCAAAACAGTTAAGTGGGTTTTTGGGCTCTTTCTAGAAGCAGTTCAGACTTAAATGGATGTGAAAAAAATTTATTTTGCATCACAGATCCCCTGCACTCACGATTCTATGGAACAGAATCAGAACCAAACTATCCTCAGTGCAGGTTCACATTCAGCAAATGTACAAGTCTCAGCATGGTGAGCTAATGCAGTTTCGCCGCTTTGTTAGCTTTTCTCTCCTGGTTTTGGTTTGCTTTGGGATCTCCAGAAATGAGCTGGATTCTCTTTGGGAACAGGAATGTCTGGGTTTTCCTCCCAGATTTGTTACCCTGACGACCTGATGGGAAGACAACTGGCAGATAGATATTTTCAGCCTCTTTTTATTGTTGTTTTCCAAAAGTAAAAAGGAAACAATCCAAACTCATTTTAACAGCTTAGCTGCATGATGCTTTCCCCAAACCGTTGGGATTAATTAGCAAAACGTGTGAAATGCTTATTTTCTTGGTGCTAAAATCGAGTTTCACACTTTTTGCTTCGTCCATGCGTCTCTTTTTCCTCTCTAAACGGACCGCAGCACATTAAAGGATCCAGAAATACTCCGCAGCCGTCAGCCACTTGTTTCACCCCGGGCCCTCTCGACGTGTGTGTGGGCACTGGAGTGTGTGGCGGCGAGTGAGGGGGAATGCGGGAGTGATTTTAATGCTGTGTGTGGGAAGGGGAGATGAACAACCCGAAACCTCGGCATCTCTCACCTGCTAGTGGAGATGATGAGCGGGTGGGTGGGGAGTCAGCGGGAAATGCGCACAGCGCCGTCACTTTTCTCCAGACTGCAAAACTCATTATCTTCACTCAAATGTTAGCCGTTATCTAGATGCTTCAGCAACCAGACAACTCATGATGCGAGAAAAAACATGACCCTGACATCTGTCTGCATCAGGATTGGCTTGTTTTCTGAATCAAGTTGTTGAGAAATTTCCCTTCTTGGTAAGATATTCCTTTGTTTGGTTAAAACAAGTTTGTTCTTCATCAAGTGAAGTTACTCAGAGCGGGAAGAGAAATTTTACTCATGTTAGAGTTGTGAGTAAAAGTAAAAAGTTCTGCGCTGTAAAAAATAATCATAGAAGTACAAAAAATTACTCAAGTAAATGTAATAGTTACTACCCAACTCTGCTGGTGATAAATGCACAAAATAAAGATTTACATAGCTCCACAAGGAAGTTCTGTTTTCATGAAAAACCTCTAAAGTTTGTAGGCAATTTAGCATCTTAATCACACTTAGCTTTCTTTCTATGCTGATGACAATTTTGTTTCTTTGCCTAGAAAATTTTAGGACTAAAGTCTTAGAGTAAGTGTACCCAGAAAGGCTGAATCCCTCCCCAGTTATTGTCTGAGTCTCCTGTGACATTGAACATGAATTATTCATTTCTGGTCTGTCTGAGCTGAACGTAGCGCTACATCTGGAGAGAAATGTCACTGCCTGCCTCTCAGACGCTCTTTCCTACACCCACAAGGAGCTGGAATGTCTTCGTGGAGGCATTAGCCTTTCCTAAACCAAAAATACACAGGCAAAAGTACAAGGGATGGATTAACCTGTGCTGAAAGTTTGTTTGCTCCAATCTTGGCTCCAAACATAAGCTTATTACCGGCAGCACAGCCGTAACACAAGCTTACAAGACCAAAGGGCATTTTGGGCTTCAGAGGTCTGAGATTAGCCCAGCTGTAAGGATAACAGTGTAAGCAACAGACAAACAGAAATGTAAACAACAAACCAGACCTTGTGAAAATGAGTTTAAACGTTATACTGCTTGGTAACCCACAGAGAAATGCAGTTGATTCTCGAGAGCAGATGTCCAGACAGATTACAAACGTCAACAAGTCAATTTGTAAATGTAGCATCAAAACTGCAAACTAAAACACTCAGAAGCTGCATTTCCATTGACCATATTATCGCTCAATTTGATATTTCGAGAGAAAATTTACTCTGGAAATATGGAAAGATATCAATAAAAAAAAAAAAAAACTTGTTTTTTGGCTCTACAGGGATGTCAAACTTATTTTATGCTAACTCAAGATCATGAATGCTCTTAAAGGGCCGGTGTGCCAGAATGCATTCACAAAACCATTTCACAAAATGTTAAAATATCAGTGGATTCTTAAAATAAAATAATATCATTGAACATTTATTTAGTCCCTCCAGGACTCATAATTCTTTTTGTGATTTTTTTGCAATAAAAATCAAAGTGTTTGTGGTTCTAATTTGGAAATATTTGGATATTTGCACTTATTTATGATGGTAAATGTAACTTTTTATGACTCGCTGTATATATCATGGACTATAATCTGACATAAGTCAAGGCTGAAGCAGTAAGACAAGTAAGAGTTTTTGACAATTTTAGAGAAAAATCTGCAATAAATTTCCAGTTATATATAAGCGCAAAATGTGTGAGGATTTGATAATTTTGCATGAATTTCCATGATAATTCTCAAGAATCTGGAGGGACTGATTGACATAATATGGTAGTAAACAGATAAAAACTGCATTGATTTGATTGATAACATAATATTTAAGCACACTTAGTGTTTAGTCTGGAATCTAGAGGGCCACATACGGCAGACCGGATTTGGCCCGCAGGCCTCAAGTTTGACACCTATACACTCGGATCAAGTGGGTTTTATTTTTTGGTCGTATCAAAAGTTATTTATTTTGCAAAACTGCAATGGAAATGCTTTTCTTCTGTATCACACAAGTAAGATGATCAACAACTGAATGTTGCCATCGACATAAACCACAAAGAAGAAAACAGGAAGTAGTTGGAGGATCATAACTCTGCATGTTTTTCAGTGATTTACTGCTTGAACTAGCTTATTCATTTGTGATTTTAGTTGCATTTCTTATTCAATGGAAACAGAGGAATTGTGGAATTGGGAATATTGATAAAAATTTTGAGTTTGCAATGGAAATACAGGTATTGTGGTCTCTAAATGATCCAAAAGGAGTTCAGAGTAGCCAAGGTCTTCACTCTGGTGGACCTCACAGCCTCACAGCTGGTCTGCAGTCATTCACCCTCCAAGTTACAAGCAATAAATTGTCCAAAATGTCTCAGTATTTTGAAGAATTTGGTCTTTTCACTGGGTCTGTTCTTTTGAGTTATTTCTAAGTGTGTAAATTCTCCTATGGAGGGAGACAGTAAGTTTGACTGAAGTAGCAGTTCGTCCTGTAAACGGTGTGTTGCCATTTTGAACCGCTGTTGGCTCTTTGCACGTAAATTCATGAACTTCAGAAAGACGTGACGACTTCACAAACGGATGTTACAGCAACTCTGCCGTTGGTCGCCTTATGTCGCTTTTATTTAACTGATTTCACTGTAAAAATGGTCGGGTCAAAACGAGTCCAGGTTATTTTCCATTTAACTCAAGAGGATCACAATCTCCTCTTCGTTAACACAATGGAGACAGAAAAGTGTGGCATCACTTCATACTAGAAAATAATAATACTATATGAGCAGATCTGTTTGATTATCCATCCATCCAGTGCTGGTACCTATCTCCAGCTTCTGTTTGATTAAACATGTTAAATCTCAGATTTATGCAGCGTTTTCATATAAACCTCCCTCCATATGAGCGGACGTCCTTTCCTGGCTGGAATATCGAGTCCTGGTTGGTCTGTGTCAGTACAGCCGAAGCACACTGCTGTGATTAGAGCAGGATAACCGCCACGATCCGTGCAACTGACTTACAAAGTGTTACATAACATTTTGTTGACAAATCAGGATCATTTTAGCAGAAGCTCCAGATGGCTTAGAGACTCTGCTGCTGGATTAATTCATACAGCTCTTTCATTTCAGATCCTTCTTGTGGAGAAAGACTCATCTTGACCAGATTATTACATCAGATCAGGCTGGAAACTCGTGTTTCAGATTGTATTCTAGTCAGCACATGTTCATGTTTCTTAACTCATACTGTAGGAAATACTATAAACACATTCCAGGAGTGTTTTAGGGAAAATTAGCAAAGTTACAGACTTTCCTAATGTGGAGATTTACCAGATAATCCATGTATGTAGACAGAAGGAGCTCACAAGCTAAATACTGCAGCTCCTAATGATGAAGGTGCAGTTATGTAAAATCACCTTTTAGAGCTTTATATCAAAAAAGTTGACATAAATTAAGTTTTTATGTTTTTTAATGTTTATGAAGAAATTATTCCCTCATTTAAAACACACCTGGAGCGTTGCCTTGGTTCCTTCATTCATGTTTGAGAAATCCTTTCATTTCAAGGCGCAGCTCCTCCTCAGAGCTGCAGTTTCCAATATTAAGATATTTGCACTAGAAAGCAAAGTAAAATAATTGGTAAGTTTTTGTGTTTTTGCAGTGAAAGTCCACATGTCTGTGTCCCTTTCTCTCAAACTCTTTGTGATCTGCCAACCTTGGCTGAAACTTAAGTTTCACCACTGAAGAAACGTCAGATTACGCTGAATTATCTTGTGTTTGCCTTGTTATTATCAAGATTGTCTTATTTTGTAAAACAAATGTCCAAAGTCAGGCCACTCTTCCTGTCCTAATGAGTGATGTGTGCTGTCTTACACGTTGTTAAACATGTCCTTCTCAGAATCTCTGAGATCCCCCTCTTAGTCCAGTATGTGTGGTTAAACTCTGCAGAAGGAAAATTAGTGACGTGTAAGCTGAACAAAACCTGTATTGTATGAAAGCAGTCAGCTGAACAGAGCAGCATACTCCTGAATCAGAGTTAGTCAAGGACAGAGGGAAAAATAGACAAATTCAAGGAACACCAGTTCTGTGAAAATGTGATTGCAGGAGTTTTGTGTGGAATCAGAGATTTCTCGGTTTGATAAAAGGGTAATCAAGGCCACTTGGCTGGACTTCTGTTTGCAACAACAAGAGAATGTACCAACATTGTTTAGTCCTACAGAAAGTAATAGAAATGTTTTGTTTTTATTGGTTGTTTGCATGAAAATTCACAAGTCTGGGGTCTACTCTGGGGACGTTTTGCAGCTCTTAGATGGATGTTTGGAAGCATAGGAAACAATCCTGGGGCTTACTTTGTTATAAAGTAAGCCTCATACATGATGAAGTTGGATGCTGGAAAGTAGGACAGCAACACGACTCAACCTTAAACTGCAATATTTTTGAGTGCATGTCTAGACTTCCACAGAAAATGAGAATGAAGTTTAATCAGATTGAGGCAGAACATGAAAGGAAACCACAGGCAGTAAAGTTTGGGGGAATATCCAGAGTATTGACGAATGTAATGACTCTTTATTCAGGATGAACACATGATGTTATGACCTGGTGAAATCCATCCTGTAGATAAAATATGCATGTACGAAAACATGCAAAACATTAAAACCACCCAACAGTTCATCTTGTTTAAGCAACAAGATGAACTGGGTAAGACTTTAACTCTTTAATTTGGATTAATGAAGTTTTAATAAAAATAATTAACATAATTAATCGAATTTTTTAATAAGGTTTGATCCTTTCAGTCGTTTCCGGTGCACTTGGGTTTATTTTTGGCTTTAAAAAGCGATTTGATAGTAACTTTGTGTAAGTTGTGCTAAAAGGAGTTAGCATACCAGCAAAATTATTCAATATATGGAATCAAATTCGGACCAAAAAAGTGAACTCTTGTCCACTTACAGAAGTGAACTGTGAAGCGGTTTGAATGCCAATGTGAACGCCAAGCGGACCATAGACTGCTCCAAATGTAGGAAGCGGACTACAGCGCACGGCATTGTGGGTAAATACAACCAAAATAAAAGCGGCAATCTAATGCTAGCATGAGAAATGGCTCTTGGTCTCTAGCCAAAGACACAAGAGAAATCCTACGACTGCTAAAATTTGATGCTATTTTTGTTTACATTGTGCTCAGTGTCTCCTTCAATGTTTATTAGGGCAGCGCCCCCACAGGTGAGGAGGGGAACAGGTTGCTTAAATGTTTTTATTTGTTTGACAGTACAAAGTGAAAGTGAACTGGCAGAAGCTGAAAATGTAACAAATGTTGCAGTTTTGTTGCCACTGGACTAAAAGCTGTGAAAACAAACCACTCAAACTCCAGAGGACAAGAACATATTTGCCTTTTTTTCCTTTTGGGTTTAAATGAGAACTAGATAGCATAACTTTCCAAAGTCTGGTTATCCTCAAACTGTTCATAGAGTGAGTCTTTTTTTGGCTTGTTTCTAATTTTAGGGTCACATATGTTCTGTTAATGACGTAGGGTAATTATTAAAAACAAAGAAACGGGCCGAGCCAAGCGAGGAGCCTTAAACTATTACTCAGCCACTACTACGCCGGACAGCATGAGCCTCCATGTGTCACACAGAGCAGCAGCCAGACAACACCCATTGGCTGAAAATAGGTCAAAGATTCGCGTCATCTCTGGATGTGGGAACACGGCGGATTACTTCCTCTTTCCTCTGATTTACAGCAGATCGCTGCGGCGACGCGGAGCGCTGGCTGCCACAGTTTCAACAGGCTTTGCATGCACACAACGGTGGAAATGTGCCAACACAGTGGAGACGGTGCAACAATTCGGCTCTGGATCAGTCAGTGTCACTAGAAAGGAAAAGAAAGAGCAGAGATGCTGCTCCACAAAGTATTTGGGCTGATAATTAAAGATAGATTTAATAGATTTAATTAATAGACAGAAAAGGTTCAAATGTGATTGTTGGGTTTAGTTTATATGCTAATGTTGCTGCATCAGAAATCACTGAATTTACTAAATAAAATATGTTAAAAGAGCTGAAAAACTAGTCTGGTCCAAAATTGGAACATTTGTTACACTTTCAGATGGTAATTTTTTTTGTACAGTTCTGCTTTAAATTAAGAACCTTATGTCAGTATGGAGAGTGATTTTAAAAAGCAGGAAAAACGGACGTGTTAAGTGTGAAAACGTGCCTGCACCCATACTATTTGTGCTGGTCCACCAGTTCAACCAGTGCAAAACCTGGTTTAGAGTCCTGGAATGGCTCAAACTTCAAACCAGTTAAACTGGTGTGGCTCAACTGGGAAATCATCGCAGTGTGGTTGAATTTAAGCAGATTGAGTCAAAGCTCCTAAACAAACTCAGTTATCATGAATGCAACATATTAGTTCCTCACATATTGGTTTGAAGAGGTTTTTTTAGCTTAATGATTAAAATTTTGATTTAAAACTGCTTTTGTATTTACTCAGGTGGCAAATATGTCAAAAGTTATAGTATTTAGATTAAATTAGAAAATCTTCAGGCACCTGAGCTTCATTAACAGGTTTAAAACTTGATGTGTCTCAAACTTTTTAGTGATTTATTGGCCTCAACTTTATAAAATTGGCACAAATTCAACATTTCAAGTTGAGAAAATACATTGAAAAAACAAAATCTAACCAAGTATTTTGTTTAATTTATAAGGCAAATGTCTTTAAAATAAGACAAAACTCAGAAGTAACTTTTCAGCAAGATATGTTTGTTTTAAATCAATAATTCCTTAAAATTGATTTTAAAAAACATACTAGTTCCAGTGGAAGACTTTTTTAATAACAAGACATTTTCCCATGTTTATAAGTGAAAAGAAATCTGAAATTAGTACTTTAACTAGGAACCAATACTTTTTCATCAAGATTAAGAAATTATTCACTCAAACCAACCTCCTATATCTTGCTGAAAAGTGACTTGTAAGTCAGTTTTATTTAAAAGTTTACGAAGATATTTGCACTAGAAACTGGACAAAAATACCTGGAAATATTTGGCGTTTTTGGTTTTTGGTGCAGGAGGGGAACATGTTTTTCTCATTTAATTTGTTTGGTAAGTTTTCAGCAAGATATTGGTGCCTCAAGACTCAAGTAAAATAATTTCATAAGGAAAATGTCTTGTTATAAGTGAAATAATCTGGCAGTGGAACAAATAGTTAAGGAATCATTTACTAAAAATAAGCTCTTATATCTTGGTGAAAACTTACTTATAAGTCAATTTTGTCTTATTTTAAGTGTACAAAGATATTTGCACTCAAAACTAGACAAAAATATTTGTTTTCGTAGTGTATTTGTGCCTCGTTCCAGATTAAAGTGATGTCCAGGCAAATCGTAAAAGCCTCATCAAGTTGTTTTCTTACTGTGAACATTTCTGAAATGCTTTTGGCTGCACAGAACAAGCTGTCAGAGCTGGCGTGTGAGCGCAGCATAGCTGAGGAGGTTCAGTCTGTAAACGCCGACATGGCTCTGAATACTTTGCATAATTTTGCAAATGCAAGACAGTTGCATGAAAGCCAGAAAACCATGAAAGTGTTTAGAAATAGGTTACAGCATCGGCTCACGCCCAGCAGAAAATACGATGACAGTCTGTGTGAGTAAAGAGGAGTGATGCAGTCAGTTTATTATATGAAACATCATGAGACCACAATAGGAGCTGGACCAGGGTGGTTACTGTTTGCTTTGGGGTTTACGGCCTAGCTGTGTGCAAAACTCACATAAAAAAAGAACAGAGAGATTTCCTGTGTGCATAAAACACAAAAGTTTGCATATTTGGAATAAAAACATCTGTATTATCGTTTACAACGTTTTTAAAGGGGCATTTTTACTGACTTTCACATGTTTTTCTTCCACGTTCTTTTTTCACTTAAAAGGGTACTTCGCTTTTTGCCAACACTGCAAATCACAGAATCTTACCAAGTATTTTAGTTTACTTTCTAGTGCAAATATCTTATTACACTTGAAATAAGACAAAATTAATTCAGAAGTAAGAAGAGAAGAGTTTGTTTTAAGCCTCTAATTCCTGAATATTGATTTAAAAAGTCCCAAATCCACTGGCTGATTATTTCACTTATAACATGGACAAAATGCCTTGTTATAAGTAAAATAATAACCGGTGGAACAAGCACTTTTTAAATCAATACTCAAAAATTATTTACTGGGAAATATAAACCATATATCTTGCTGAAAAGTTACTGTTACTTGTAAGTTAGTGTTGTCTTATTTTAAGTGTAATAAGATAGAAAAAAAACTTTTCTAAAAAAAAAAAATTCTGAGTTCGACATGTTGAAAGTTTTGAGAAAAAACTTTTGTAATTAATCTCAGAATTTTTTTAGTTTATTTTCAAAAGTTGAACATTTTTGAGTTTTGCAACTGACATTTTTATGATTGTACAATCTGAGCTAAAATTTTTGAATTTTAAATTTTGAGTTTAATTTCAGGAAATTTCTAGAAAAATCACGGAATTCGATTTTTTTCTCCAAAAAATAAACTTATTTTAGTTATCTAGAAAAATCATGGATATTTCTGAGTATCAAAAGTAAAAAAAAAAAATTCAATGTTTGAAACTCAAGTATTTTCCCCAAAATTTCTGAGATGACCCTCAAAATTTCAGAATTTTTAAAGCAAGTTTTAACTTTTGAAACAAAAAAAATGTTCATGTTTTTCCAGAAAATTTCTGAGTTTATTTTATTATACTTAGCAAATTTTCTAGAGTTTTTTTTTTTGGCAGAAATATATTCTTCTCTTTCCTCTTTTTCCCATCTACGATGGCCCTGATCCGCGGTCGCACCCAACTGTCAGTAAAGGCAGCACGGACATGGGGTTTTACCTGACGTCCCTGAACGTACAGTCCCCGCCCTGCCCGGTGCTTTGACGTCACTGGCGCCCGTCTCCTCACATGCACCGGGGAGTGCAGCAGCGGCTCCCCCCACCTCCCTGCCTTCCTCCTCCTCCTCCTCCTCCTCTCCACCCTCTCTGCCAGAGAGCCCCGACGACAGACAGCCATCCAGCCGCTCGCCGTCCTGCTCCTGCCGCCGCCGCTGCTGCCGCTGAGTGGAGTGTGGTCTCTTTTTTCCACCTACGTGGGTTTCTCCACGAGCCGGACAGCGAGTTTTTATTATTTTTTTGAACTATTTTTTTTTTATTTTTTATTAATTACTAACCGGGTTTGGGGACATTTAATCTTTTTTACTCCTGCTGCCCTTCAAGTGAAATGGAGAAAATGGCCAGACCTCTTCCTATAAACCCAACTTTCCTGCCGCCGACTCATGGAGTCCTGAAATCCCTGCTGGAAAACCCGCTGAAACTCCCGTTTCACCACGATGAAGGTACGCTGTCTTAAAAAAAAATGTGCAAAACTTACTGCGCACACAGGTGCACGTAGGACTGCTTGTTGGCGCACTTCTTTGATCTGACAGATATAGCGGACTAAAAGGACACAGGTCAACCAAATCACCTAAAAGTGGCGCGTCTGTGTAGTTTGCGATCTTTGTTAAAAATTAAACCGTAATCTGATTTGCAAGGGAGCGGCAAAAATAGAGAAATTAGAATCCTGTGTAATTCGGGTTTAATGTTTATAACTGGCAGATTTGGCGTCAAATTCAGTCAGTAAGTGATTTAAACATGAAGTTATTTTCTCAATGAACACTTTAAGAGTCCAGATTTAACCGCGCTGCTGTTGTGTCTGCGCTGTTAATAGCGCAAAGCGCTGTTTATAACATTTAAACCCCACTGTCTTCAATGAGACTCATTAGCAGTACCGATACCTGTCGATAGAGGGCATTTTCCATGTTGAAGCCTCTCTTAGGACGTGTTAAATGGATGTAAGCTGATATGAATGGCGGATAATGTTTACCTTTAAAGGGCCAGGCTTCTCAAATATAAAATTTCTCACGGTTTAGTGAAAATTTCCACAGCTTCTAGTGTTTCTTCCAGTCAGATGACAGAGAGAGATGGGTAGACTTGTTTACAAAGGACCCTAAGCATTTAAAAAAAAAACCTTCGTGTTCATTCAGAATATAATTGAAAATGTAATTTATTTCAGTATAGTTGTTTATATTTCATATATTTATATATTTAGGTGATTATGGTTTACACCTAAAGAAGATCAAACATTCAGTTTCTCATAAAAATTTAATATAGTCAGACCAATAATAAGAATAAAAAAGTATTTTTAATACAGAATTGCTTTGCTATGTAGATGCTGTGGAGGTGAACGACAAAAGAAGCTGCTGTATCTAAGAGTTTTAATGGAAAGTTAAGTGGAGGGAAAAAATTGTGGTGGAAAAAGGTGCATATGGATAACAATAGACTTCAGTGAATTGTAGAAATTAAAGATTTTTTGCCACAAAAAATTATTGAATTCACATGGGCATATTGTTTAGTAGGCCTACCTTTTTCTCTTTAATTGGTCTAAGAAACTAAATTTTGGATTTTATCAACTGGACCATAAAATATTGGACATGGATAAAAACAGAAACTCCAACTGTGTAACTGATTGGACATTAGTTTCACTTTTTGAATCAATATACAAAAAGTAAATGATATTACAATCTATGAATATATAATACAAGCTGCCATGATGGATTTGGAGGTTGTCATTAAGGGGAAACCTCAAAAATTAAAGTCCCACTTCCGACCTAACAGGAAGTTAGAAGGTTTCTGGGTTCCTACGCATTCTTAAAAAATGAATGGGGAAGTTCCCGTTTAAATCAATTTCCTTGTCTGGATAAGTGTGAAAAATATTTTAATTAATATTTGAGCATTATTTTCCAGCTATCAATTGCAATCAATATCAGGGATTTTAGGTTATTTAGCTTGAACCACAAATGAGTGCAAAACTTGTTATAATTTATGCAATTCTTTATAATATAAAATCAATGTAAGCAGTTTATAAATTAAATAAAAAATAATAATTTCACAACTATCATAATGCCTAAACAACTTTACTTTTAGGATTTTAACAACAAAAGGTACAAAAAATGCTTTTTAAAAGATAATACAAACAGATTAAGAGTGTTAAAGTTGAAAGAGTAATGCAGGATGATTCAGTCCCGATGCGAAAAATCTATTTTCCTATTTATCTAGAATGTATAGGATAAAATAAAAAAAATTATCTAAAATATATATATTTTTAATTTGCTTCGAGGTCATTTTTTTTAAGACCTAGAAGCTCTTAAAATTGACGGAAGCAACCAATTGACCCCCCCTCTATGAAATAATTCACTAATAATTTGGAGTTACTTTAAGCAGAAAATTTTATGAGAAGGTCGGGGGACCACTGTTTTACCGACATGCAAAATGTGCATGTATCACACTTAAAATATAAACTCCTACCATAAATTGTACCCAAAACAGTTTTGTCATTGTCATTTATTTAGTTATGGACATTGGTATTAGGGATACAAACAATTAATTGACTTACGAGTAATTGACTATTAATGGTTTATTAGATTAAAATTAGCTCCAGCCGATTACTTAACGCCAGCTTCGACCAGACCGCCGTCCAGCAGAGGGCGCAGCTGGTCATCCTTAAGCGGAGCCAAGACAGAAAGATGGCGGCCTTACCAAAATGGGAAAGAAACGGTCCAACCAGAGTCCGTGGTGGGATGCAAAATTCATTTTCTGCGGTTTGTTTCGAATTATAATTTTTTCACATTAATGGCGGTCATACAGCCGAGCTGCATAACGAAGCCGCGCCAACTTTATGAACTGAAAACTACCGATGTGCTACGAAGGTGAGGATGATGTGACGACAGAAAAACGGAGAAAAATTATAACACGATGGAAAAAACAAGGCGCTAAAAAGCAAGTTTGATTTTTGGAGATTGTTGTGAGTTAAAGCGCTTCATGGAGTGAAGTTTTAATATTCCATCAAGAGCAAGTAGAGGCGGTTTCTGTATGAATTTTTTTCCTCATTTTTTTATTTTGCAACTTAAAAGGTTCCTGTGTTATATTTTAGAAATATAAGTTTAATAATGTGACAAGCATTTTTCTGTTTATTCAGTCAATATTTCATACTACTGACAGAAAGTAATATTAAAATTTAATGACGTTTAAATTTAGCACTTCATGTTATGGAAAGACGGTCGGCCCTCTTGATTCAAGAAACGAAAATGACTGCTCACCAGTAGATCGATAAAATCGATCAATTTTACATTAACTCATTAATTGATCACTTTCATGCCTAATTGGTGGGCTGCCACAAAAACAAGTATTGCTGGGTGATAAATTATCCCAGAAGTTTTCGTTACTGTTGTTTTGAGAACACAATATCAAAGATCAATAAACTTTAAATTCTAATGAACACTTACCACTGGAACTGGGAGACATTTTACATATCCAAATTTAATAAACAAAACAGAAACGACAAATAAAATGGATCACGAATAGATGAGACCAATTCTTTTACCAGCCAGATTTTGGAAAGAGATAAGAGAAAAACTTTAAATGATGCAAATGGAAATGATTGAGTTTTAATTTATCATGTGATTAATTGATTTATTCTGACATGCCTACTAATTGGTGTTGTTAAATCAGCTGTGGTTTTGTTTTGACCACAGCTTCTGGTCCTGATTAGACTGAAGTGACGCAGATTCCTACTAGATGAGTCCAGGATGAAATCTGATGGGATTTGTTTTCTTTTTTCAGGATTTGGGAAGGATAAGGAGAAAGAGAAAAAGCTGGAAGATGAGAGCAGCACAGCCAGCCACCCCCAGTCGGCCTTCCTCGGGCCCACCCTGTGGGACAAGACCCTGCCGTACGACGGCGACAACTTCCAGCTGGAGTACATGGACCTGGAGGAGTTCCTGTCGGAAAACGGCATCCCAGCCAACACGGCCCAGAGCGAGCAGGCCCCGCAGGCGGCGCAGCCGTCCCAGGCAGCACTGCAGCAGGTCCCGCCACCCAAGCCACCCACCCCCTCAGTGGTGGACCTCAGCAGCCGCGCCACCACCTCCGTTCACACAGCCATGCCGCCTCAGACCTGCCTGCACAGCCCAACCGCCGCAGGTATGAAGCATGCTGAGGCACACCTGCTCACTCACACACGTGGGTCCTCAAATGTCCTCCATATGTCCTTAGATGATGTCTGCGCATTCTTAAAAAGACTTAAATGTATCTAAAATTTAGGTCTTAAAAGACTTAAATTCATGCACCCATAGTTAAGTTCTTTAAAATGTCTTAAATTCCCGTAAAGTTAAGGCCTTATGAAGTCTTAAATTAATGTATCTAAAGTTAAGATCTTAAAAAGTCTTAAGTTTGTGTATCTAAAGACAAGGCTTTATGAATTAAATTTATGTAACTAAAGATAAGGCCTTATAAAATCTTAAATTCATGTATTTAAAGATAAGGCCTTAAAATGTCTTAGTCATTAGAAAAATTTTAAGTTGGTTTTAAATACGTTGATCACAGGCCTTAAATTTTGTCGTGGCAGGATGATTTAGTCTCCTATATTCTATGTACTCTATTTTTCTGCTTTCATCTTCATTATGTTCTCTAAATTAAGGCAGTTGATGCTGCCAGTAAGTAATTGCTAATATACTTTTGATAGCTAGCTTTTTTTCCATCAAGGGTAAAGGCAAATTAATGCTTAGTTGGCACTTCTGTTACCAGGTAAATGCAAGACTAGGTGCAGTTTGTGCAAAACAGGGAAAAAAAAATCTTAAGTTTGACACAGTCGAGTCCCCCAAGAATTCCCTATATTTGTAGTTGTTTTGGCCTTCAATACCATTTAAAGTGACATTAAAAAGGTCTTAAAAAGTATTAGGACTTGCAGAAACCCTGCAGAAACCCTGTTTCAGGTTGGAATGAAAATGATTCAATCTGTTAGTAATGCTGCGGGCTGATGAAGTATGCAGCAGGGCGGCTCTCATTGAGCTCCGATTGGCTGAAAGAAGCCCCTCCCCCTCATTGTTTTTGTTTACTCCACATTGTTTGGTTTTTTTTAAAGCTGTGCCTCAGGCTTGAACTCACTGAACCACATAAACTCACTTCACCCGACTCCACAAGGAGGAAACTTTCAGATTCACACGTTTTTGAATCTACCTGGCGTTTTGGTCACCGCAGAAAACTTCTCATTAAGGAAGCGGTTACATAACGAGCTGGTATCCAGGAGGCAGCGGCTGCTTTTCCTGCCTGATCCGGGGACCAGTTCCATTCCAGACTCTGACCGGCTGCTGGCAGCGGATCAGATCATGGAAGATAAACAGATGGAGACCCTGAGGGTGTTTACCTGAAGGGGCGGGGTCCCAGTGAGGGGCCTCTCGTGCCTGTCGGAGGGCCTCACTGACCCAGTGAGTCAGATGTTTTCAGGTTAATAAAATTATAACGGATCGGTCTGATTCCAGCTGCTGAGTCTGGTTTAGTTGGAGATGTTTGGTGCTGGAGGTCCGTCTCCTCCCAAACATTTCCTCGGTCAGGAAGGAAGAACCCGGCTGGAGGTTCTGTAAACAGGTCTTACCTCATCTTTAATGTGCTGAACACGTCGCCAGGGAGAGGGATTATTATTATTATTATTATTCCACATTTTGTTAAATAAAATCTCAGAATCTTAAGTTTTAAGGAGAAAAATCATCCAAAATAAAGCAACAAAATGCAGGGATGAAAACAAATGCATGGGAAATTAAATCAGCTTCGTTTTACTCTTAAAACAATTTTACTGTTACCATTTCTCAGGAAATTTATCAGATTGTGAAAAACACTCAATAAAAATTAATATTTGCACATTTTCACTCACATTTCCTAATGTGTGTTTGTTACAATTTAAATTGATGGAATATTTAAACATTTTGTTTAGTTTCATTTTATATTATCAGAAAAATTATTGATAATGGTAATAATTCTAACAATAATGTCGATAAAAGAAAAAAAAATGTTTAATAAAATAAATGAATAAATCCTGAATTGAATAAATGTTAATAGTAGGAAGAGGAAATAAATGAATGCATTATAATAAAAGTTAATGTGCCACTACTAAATTTGCCCTGCCCACTTACTGCACAAAATAATTTCACTGTTTTTTGGAAATTAGGTAAATATTTTTATTATTCACATTTTAATGACCTTAAAATGTGACATGACTGAAACATTTGTTAATAATGTGACTGAATTAATAGAAAAAAAACAATCATTCAGTGATTTATTTAAATAATTATGGCTGGTTTGGTCCTCCGTATTTTCTGCAGACAATCCTGCAGTCAGACTGGCTCCATAATTTCAGGCGTTTGAGGATTTTTCAGGCTGCAGCATTGCAGCTTCAGCTCAGATCTTAGAGGAACTCCTGCTCTGTTTGATGTGTCCGGGTTCTGTTTGGGTCAGTCTAGCAGTTCACATTTAGGTCTCGCGTGAAGCCAGGATGGGGTTTCCTCTGGCGTGCGACACCATGTGACGGGCGCATGCGGGCAGCCGTGTGCAACGCCGAGCTGCAAACCGGAGCCCCCTCCTTTTCTTTTCTCACTTTCTCTCCCCCCCACATCCACTCCACCCGCTCTGCTTCCTGTTCCACCCCCCCCCGGGACCCGGCCCAGACTCAGAGCACACGCTGTACCCTGCAGAGGTCACATGGACTTGGGCGTGCTCCGGTCACATGTGCGCCACATTGTTCCAGCTCAGCGAGTCTGGTCTCGTCTAACCAGCTCCGCGGCCTCCACCGCAGCGTTGCAGGACCTGCAGCTGGCAGATAACATCCTAGGTGTGCCGCTGCTACGGCCTTCATAGGTCAAAGGTCGCATTCAGGACATGGACCCTTCAGCGGCCGGAGGGGGAGTCGGGTTGCAGGTCGAGCTGCACCTGATTCCAGTTATTCAACTCCAGTCTTGAAGAAGACGCCGAGTGCAGCTTTCTTCTTCACTAAATGTAAACAAACATGGAGAGGCGTCAGATTTTAATGGCTGGAGGATTTCTCTAGTTTTCGGTGAAAGACCATGATCCATTTCTTCTGCTAGCGCTAGACTAATGCGTTTGTTTTAGTTGTATTTACCCAGAATGCCGTGCGCTAAACTACAAAGTCGTGCAGTTTAAGATGACTTTATTTTAAACCTTAAAATGAACTGAAATTGTTTCTGGACAACTGATAATTTCATTGGTTCATCTTTAGAAAGTGATGTATTTAAATATATATATATATATATGTATGTATATGTTTCTTCAGAGTAAGATAGAAACATCAGGATGAAGCTCTGAAAGATTTAAAACATAAATATCAGAAAATAAGTTAATTCTCACACAGTTAATCATTATTTCTTCTAAAGAATTAATATTTTACTATTAATTCATTTTATAAAGTGACTTTAAAAATATATTCTATAATTATTGCATTATTTGTTATTATCAATAAAATAGGATAAAATAACATTAAAAGGTACCACAAGCATAAAAAAATAAAACCTCCTTTGTAAATCTTTTAAATATTTCTGCAGAATGTCCATCAGTTGCACAATTCGCCCCATTCATGCCTCAAATGATGGATCAGTAACTTTCATCTGATTTCTGTTAAACTTTAAACCAGTGGAAACTGCAGAAGATGCAATTTTCAGTTTTATTGAATTTACAGAGAAGAAAATGCAGATTTTTCACTAATTATCCAGCAGAATGATGGGAAACCAGCCAGTCGATGGATGCACTGCTGTTCTCTCTCTGGTATATTTTATCATCTGAGGCTCAACGTTGCAGCTTTAAGGTTTTTTGAGGTGAATTTAAAAACCTTCACGACCTGAAATGATCTTCCTCTGAGAGTATTTACAGTAAACAGAGTTTACCCTCCCGTTCTTCCACCCGACTCTGAGTTCAACAGTTCACAGATATGGCTGGTCGTCATGACGACAGTGCTCATAAAATCATAAAAAGCCCGATACGATCGCTGAGCGTGACGTCAAGCTGGATCCAGATAATAATCTGTAAAATCAATAAAACTATACTGCAGTATAAAAAAAAAAGTTATTGAATTTGGTTTAGAGGTTTCCATGGAAACCCAGCAGGTTATCCTCCGCAGGTTGCTGATTAATCTCAGTTCGTTCCTCCTCTTGGGTCTGGTTAGAACCGGGTCGTTGAGTTTAGACGTTCCTGTTCGGACCGGTTCTGCCTGGGTTACCTGCGTTCGCCTCACAGAGGTCAGGTCAGACTATTTGTGTCGCCTCTTAAAGACGGATTATCTTTAATCTGGTCTCTGGTTTAGAAGTGAAAGAACAGATGAGAAACAAAGTCTGAGACATCTTTCCGTCTGAAACGGCAGAGAAACACACAGAACTAAATCTGAAACGATTAATCACGATTAATCGATTACTCAAATAATCATAGCAGTGATTAACTAGAGTGTACCGATTCAAAAAGAGCCATTTACTGAAACAACAATACAATCAGAGCAGAATTAAGCCAGAACTTTTGTCCAGTTCCTAGTGCAAATATGAATTAAGATCAAACTAACTTACAAGTAACTTTTCAACAAGATATAGGAATTTGTTTAAAGTCAATAATGTCTTAATATTGGTGAAAAAGTTCTAGTTCCACTGGCAGATTATTGCATTAACATGTGAAAAATGTTTTGCTAGAAGTAATATAATCTACCACTTTAAAAATCAACATTAAGGAATTGTTTACTCAAAATAAGCTTCTTGTATGTTCATTTTGCCTTATGTTAAGAGTTCTGAGATATTTCCACTAGAAACTAAACCAAAGATACTTGGTAGGATTTAGTGTTTTTGGCAGGAAAGTCTCCCGTATATCTGACTCAGAACAATTCATCAGAATATGATGGTAGATGTCAGATAGCTTTGGGTTTTCAGATCTAGATCCGTTTGTTCCAGCGGATCTCCTGCAGCGCTGCAGAGCAGGTCAGCGGCTCCGACCTCGTAAATGTGGGTCATGATGTTCGAGCCGCCAGCGGATCAGCGGCCGATGAAAATGCACGTAGCGCCTGGAGTTGTTCGGGACAGGAAGTCAGGAGTTTCAGAGCTCCTGAAACAGTCCCACAGCAAGCGAATCCAGATTTTTTCCTGCAGTCTGAACGGACCAATTCCGATCTTTTCACCTCCTAAAACATCCGATTTGTGCCTCTTCCATATCTGAAACTACATCGTATCCGATTGTTTCTAAACCCGTCTGAACTGTCATGTAGTATTTTATCCGACTGTTACACTATTAATATGAGAAATGAGTCATAATTTGGCACCAGAAGAAGCCAAAAGCCAGCTGTAAATCAAGATTTAAACAATGGCTGAAAATGATAATTAAATTATAAAAGAAGTCTGTCAGTTCCTCAACTCTTCTGACTCGTCTGTCTACACATCCAAACAAACTGTCAACATGTACTATTAGTTCTGCCTTCTTTTTATTAGCTTTCTGCTTATGATCTACACTGAATAGAATAGAATATTATCATTGTAACAATGAAATATGGGTACAATTCTTCAGATGAAAACAATGACTGACTTTTAAAAAATCTAATTTCTCACTTATCTGTTGATAAAAATTTAATTTAAAGGGGTGGTATTATCCACATTTCTTAACTTTACAACCCCCAACAAAAACATACCTGGAGTTTTGCTTTGATTCTTTCATGCATGTTTGAGAAATCCTTTAATCGCCATGGCAACCATTCACCTGGGCAAAACGCCTGGGTGGGCCTAGCCCCGCCTTGGAGGATGAAGCTCCTCCTAAGAGCTATAAAACTTCGGCCTCACAGAGAAGCCCTCTCCCGCTTGGCTCCTTCAGACTAGCCAGCAGCAATTAGCAAACACCTGATGGAACTGCACATCTGGTAAAAAGTTTCAGAAAGAGCAGGAGTTTTAAAGAGACTTTAAATTACAATGTCAAAGTCTTTTAAATTCATATTTGATTATATAATAGCTTGATTGTGCTATAAGAAGGAAAACACAAAACTGCCGCTTAAAGCCTCCACTGTGTCAGAATTAAAGCTCCCATTGCTGAATAAATGTTAAAATTGATTAATAAACATGATCTATTATTACTTCTGTAAACGATGTGCTGCTGTGTGATGCCTACGTTCTTCTTCTGTGGTTTCTGGTTGCTTTGAAGACGTAACGCGTTCACGCAGTCGGGTTTAATTAGTAGCAAAATAATATCAGATTATAGCAAAAAATCAGAACCTGCTGCTTCCAGATCAGCTGTTGGTCGAGGGTTTGTGTAACCATTGTGTCGCAGCACCACCTGCTGGTCGGTGGAGGTATTACTGCCTAAAGCAGAACTGGAAGCTTCACAGGGAACAAACATGGCCTCCTGGTTCTGATGTTGTTTTTGTCTCCTCTGTCCGGTCCGCAGCCAGAGACACACCCAGCCCCATCGACCCGGAGTCCATCCAGGTCCCGGTGACGTATGAGCCGGACCCGGCCGACCTGGCACTGTCCAGCGTTCCGGGTCAGGAGATGTTCGACCCCAGGAAGCGCAAGTTCTCCGCCGAGGAGCTGAAGCCGCAGCCCATGATCAAGAAAGCCCGGAAAGTCTTCATCCCTGAGGACCTGAAGGTGAGGAAGAGTCATCAGTCTGTGGGTCAGATCAGAACCAAAACTTCGGAAATAAAATCTTTCTTTTTCATTTTGGCAGATTTAGATTTTAACTTTAAAATATTAACTTAGAATCTTTTCTTCCGCTTTTTCTTTCTTTGTTCATTTTTCTCATTTTCTTTCTTCTCTTCCTTTCTCCCTCTTTCTCTTCCTTCCTTGCTTCCTTCCTACCTACACTATTTTCTTAAGTCAGTCAGAAACAGCTGATCTTTTTAGATGTTTATGCAGATGCATGTTTGGCTGCGAATCATCAGGCGTTCACTAAAGCACTGCTGTTATTGCATTTTAGGCAATAAAATGTTCATTTTCTTGTTTAAAAATGAATTGAACTATTTGTTTTTTGTGTTTTTTTATGTATTTGTAATATTATATAAATTAAACTTAAGTGGTTAAATGAAAAGTCAGCAGAATGTTCCAACCCTTTTATACGATTAATCGTTAGTGACAGGATTCACCTTCAAAATAAAAGCATAATTGATTTTCAGTATTTCATTGCCACGTTGTTTTGCTGACTGAGCCCTCTGCTGCTCCCTGCAGGATGATAAGTACTGGGCGCGGCGCAGAAAGAACAACGTGGCGGCAAAGCGCTCGCGGGACGCGCGGCGCCTCAAGGAGAACCAGATCGCCATCCGCGCCGGCTTCCTGGAGAAGGAGAACGCCGCGCTGCGCGTCGAGGTGGCCGACTTGAGGAAGGAGCTGGGCCGCTGCAAGAACATTCTGGCTAAATACGAGGCGCGACACGGGCCCCTGTGAGCCCCTCCGGCGGCCCACCTCTGCTCCCAGAACCTCCAGTTTGCCCTCCTGTTTGAAGGACAATGTCTCTAATGGCGGCACCCCCACCTGTATGATTCTGGTATTTTATTAAGCTTCATCTCGTCTGCTCCTCTTTTGATTTCTCTACACGGTTTGAATAAATAGATATAAATATATTTCCATGTGCGTACTTCCCACTGTGAGGAGTTCGAGCCCGCCTCCTTCTCTACATCAGATCAGGACTAAAATCCTTTTTATTTTGTTGTTTTTAACCACTTATGTTAGTATTTCCTGTCCAGTCCAGGAACATTTTGCTCTCTGTTAGTATTATGTTTTAATTTCTTGAGCAATAATTTTAAATATGTCTCCACCTCCTGCTCCCGTTCGTTAACTTCTGCACTAACTAGCGTCTCACAATCGGATCCGGTTCAAGAAAATTCCTCTTATTTATCTCCCTTTTATTTCTCAGATGGAAGATTGTTGTTTTTATATCTATAAATAAATATATATATTCTGTTGATATAATTGTTAGTATTATTACTGCTCTGAAAGCTGTGGTTGTTTAGCCTCCTTCTCTTCAGGTTTAAGCATGATTTCTCTGTTTTTTTTTGACTAGTTATTGATTCTTTGGATTATGTTTGACTTGGCATGACTAGTCCGAGTGTTTTTGTTTTGTTTTTTCTTTCTTTTAGGACTCGGTGCAGATGTCTTGTCGGTGGCGTCTGTTTGCCGTCTTTTCAAAGATGGCTGTATGAATGTAAAAGAGAAAAAGGTTGGATGGTGTTGTCCAATACTGTGGTTCACCCCATCAGTTTGTTTCCTGCAGACCAAACCAGAGATGTTTCTAGAAATCTATACATTGTTCCTTTTTTGTACAGTATTTTTCCAATATATATATAAATATATAAAAAATTGGTGAATTGTGTATTTTAAAGGCACAACAGGCCCAGAGAAATATTAAAAATGTGTTTAATAAAATAAATGAATAAATAAAGAGGTATTTTGATATTCTATTTGAGGGGATGGGAAGGAAGCCAAATTGTTGTGGGCATTATCGTAATTATAAAATATGATTTCAACGCTCCTTAATGTGCTTAATGTTTTCAAAAACATGGGATGGCGTTACTATGACGGCAGGGAAACTATAGCTGGTTCTTCCTGCTGCTCTGCGATTGTTTTCCTCAGTTGTAGCGAGTCCCTGAACCCGAGTGATGAACCTTGGAAGACTTCTTTTGTTGTTTTTGCTGTTTTGTTTTTAACTGCAGAGTCTTTAGATTGAAGCTGGAGTTATGAGTCATGTTTAGACACCCATCAGAGGATATGTTGTTTCACAAGGCAGATCATGGCATGTATGGAAGACCAGAGGTGCCAAAATAATGGCATCTTTTTGTGTATGCATGAAAATCCTAAAGATTATTAAATACAAATATTTGCAGTTTGCTCTAATTGTGTAAAACATAACCCGTTCTAGAAAGGCTTACCTCAAAAGTCATCTCACTGCAGTAGAAGAGGCCACTAATGCCAGGCGTCGCATAACCTATACATACCAAAGATTGCTTTGGAAGCAATTATCCCCAATCAACAACACAAATTTGCATGGTAATTATTTTATTCAAATAAACCAGCTCTGCTTAATTTGACCCCTGGTTAATGGCAAAAACTATTTTTTTTAAATATTTTTGCCATAAGTGCTTTTTTCATTCAGTTTTGAAAAGATTGCATTTTATTTTGTTAAAAGGCTCATAAAATATCACATCAAATTTTAACCACCTCGGAAGCATCATGGTTTTTAATGACGGTTGCTGTGTTTAGCTGTCACTTTTCGCTTGAAAATTAGATATTATGCAAATGTTTAAATTAGCAGTTTCCATTCCTGCCATAAATCTTTCATTAAGTTAAAGCAAACACTACATACTTCTTGAACACAAGTGGGGAGAAACTCTGTAATAATTCAACAAACACATTTAACATACTCTTATTAGGATTTTTCAGTTGCTCATTAATTTCAATTAAGTTTTTGGCATCTCTGGACTTCCATATTTGTCTCCTGAGGTCATGCTCATTTGGATCTTTAGTATTTGGTTCATTTAAAGTTTGTAAAAGTGAAATGAAATAAATCCTGGAACCTCTGCCCCTGTAAAACAAAACTGTCACATTCCACTGAGACTTTTCGGAGCGTTTTTGATCTGGTCCACAGGTGCGAGCGATATTAAGCCACCATTTTGTTACCCAGAGTTTTCATCACTTTTGAGGCTCCAAAGCTTCCAGATCGTCTTTGTTTTTTATTAGAATCAAGCAGGAAAAAGCCAGTAATGATCCGTGAAATCCCAAACGTACCTCATGTGTGGCGTGATCTCTCTACCTCACCTGGAAATATTAACCATAATAATTGTGAGTTTGTTCCAGTGCCTTTAATTCACCGACTGTTCCCAGTGTTTTGGTCCCATACAGCACCGCCCTGATGGCTCCAGATTGGCGCCGAAAGATTTCCTGAACCTTCGTTTTATTTCAAACATTGCAGCAGATTTGTAACCATTGTATTCATGGCAACACCAACAGACTGTTTCAGAGTGTTTAAAGTGCAGCATAAAGGAGTATTACGTGTTGTTCAGCCCTCTGCCTCTCTGTCTGTAATTTCTAGTGTCTAATAAAAATCCCACTTATTTTCCCATGTGTTTTCATTCTCTGCACATGTCAAAATATTAGAATATTGTGAAAGTTTAATATTTCTAAACATTCTAAATATTGCTAGAAATATTTCGTATTTCAAGCAACTTGGATGTTTAGATTTTTCACACAGTAAAATATTACATGTTGTAATCTCTAAAATTGTGGCTCACAGATAGGCCTGTCGCAATAAACGATAAATCAATTAATCGCACGATAAATTAAACCTATCGACCTCATTTTAATTATCGGCTTTATCGTCTCTTCCTGCCTTTTCTTTCTTTCTCTTGACACTGAATGAAAAAAGGCTCAACTCCGGTGCTCTGCACTGACCCTCCCTTCCTATTTCCTTAGTGTAATGTCCAGCGCACACGACACGAGTCGTCGGCCCATTTTCAAAACCTGAGAGACACATTAGCCGACAGAAATCCTAGGTATAACGGTAGGTATAACATTTCCATTAAATCAGTGTCAAAAGGTATTGAAACAATATTATTGTTTATTGCAATAATTTTTTAGACAATCACTCAGCAAAATTTATCGTGACAGGCCTACTCACAGATGATGAAAACTCAAAAGAAAATTAGAATAGTATATCTGATTAATAAAAAAATGATATTTTAAGCAGAGATATTAGTTTTTTGAAAGGTATATTCATTTCTATGTGCTTAATATTTGGTCTGGGCTTCTTCTGGATGAAGTACTGGTGTGGCGTGGATGAGATCAACCTGTGGTTCTGCTGAGGTTCTGGAAGTCCAGGTTGAATTGATGACAGCCTTCAGATTATGTCCATTGTTGGTTCTGGTGTCTCTAATCTTTAAGTTTTAGCTTGTGGTTTCAGTTATATTATTTCAGCTTTTCTAATGTTCATCAGCTGCTAACTGTTGTTATAGTTACGCATCTTAAATGAGCAAAGTACAAAAACTACCAGTCCATCTTCAGAACATCCAAAACAAGAAGGAACAGTTGCACAAGTAAAGGTATTTTATGAATGAGACGGAAAAAAAAAAACGGTCCCATGCTGAGGTGATGGTTCATTTGCCAGAACTGCTGTAAAATGGCCACCAGAGGGCGTTAGTGGTGAAGCGAGATCCCAGTTGACTCCCAAGAAGAGCAGTGACATCCGGGTTCCTTCAGTCCTTATCGGAGTCTCATGACCAAGAACAGGTTAATCCAGAGCTTCGCTATTTTGCTAACCGTGACGGTTTTGACCCCAATCCTTCTGTCCACCTCATGCTACAATCTATCATCGCTTGTGAAGATATTTAAGGTGTTTTGACACCTGATAGTTTGATTGGGGAACAAACTTGCAACATTTGTTGCATTTTCAGCTGGTACTGTTGCCAAACGAATCAAACCTTTTGAAAAACCTGTTCCCCTCCTCGCCTGTGGAGGCGCTGCACCGAGAACTACTGAAAAAAATGAAAAGAAAAAAAAACCCTCAGAAGATAAATGGAGTGGCGTCAGATTTTAGCGGTTGTAAGACTTTTATATTGTCTTTGGTTTAAAAAAAAAAAGACACTTTCTTCCACTAGCTAGACACACGTTTGTTTTGGTTGCTTTTTTTCTTTCCCAGAATACCTTGCGCTGTAGTCTGCTTCCTGCTATTTTAGCGGTCTCCGTTCATACTATGCATTCGACCCAAACCCATAATCGGAGACATAAGTTTGTCATATGGGCCAAAACCGTCGCGTAAAAAGAGAAGAAAAACTGTTAGCAAAGTAGTCCAATTATTGTTGATTTTTGAAGGAAAGGATGTCATTCATGGTAGAGCCAGTCTTAAAATTTGCTGTATGTTTGCTGTTACAGTTTTACAAAGAACCTAATAGAAATAAAACCAAATAAAACCAAAATA